TCTCAAATGTCTGCTATCCATCTAAAGTAAAAACTTCTATGATGACAAATTATTCTTTCTACTACACCGCGGAACCAGATTATAAGGATATACTGAGTTAATGATGCTAAAGAAACTAAATTATTACAATCGAATTCTAGCATAAAAACTAGACTTTCTAGGGCTGGTGAGATAGCTTGGCAGTCTAAATGCTTGCCCGGCAAGTACAAGGACCTGGGTTCGATCCTTGGTATCACATGCCATGCCGGGCCCAGGCGCGCTATGCAGGCCACCGAAACCAGGGATGGTGACGCACACCTGTAATCCCAGTGCTGGGGAGGCTCCACCAGGAGGAGCAGTACAAATCTGAGCTGCACAGCAAGACCCTGTACCAAATAAATAAATCTCTAAAACAACAACAACCAAAAACAAAAACAAAAACCCTAGGTTTTCGTTAAATTTTTTAAAAACATTTTTGGCAAAACAATGAAAACAGAGCATGAAACTACAAATGTAAACCTGTCCCAGGTTCAAATACTAAGTCTTCTCAGCACTATGTTTCTACATAACTGCACCAGTCAAATAGGCTTTGCCGTCTGTTTTTTTTTTTTTTGAGATAGGGTCTTGTATGCAGTTCAGGCTCACTTTGTGCTCATTTTTATAGCCCCCAGGCCAGTCTCAAACTCGCAGCAACGGGCACAGCATGTGGAAGTGGAGCTGGCACTCAGGTCCTAGTGCCTGTCACGTGCTCAGCCGCTGAGCTTTCCCCCACCCCATGCCTTTGCTATCTTAACAGCTCTGATTTGAGCAGAAGGGAGCTTCATGTAAGGCCTTAAGGTCAGCAGTCACACAAACAGTACAGTAAGAAAATAGGTTTACATGTTAAAGGTAAAATAAGTTTCTTCAAATTAAACAAAAACATTTTGTTTCATTTTGCTTAGAAACTTAAAATCAGGGCTGGGGAGATTCTCAGTATCAAGAAAGAGAAGAAAAGAAAAATTAATTTTTTTATCTGCTTTCTCTCAGCCTTAGAATTCATGGGAAAAATTTAATACAGATTTGATTTATGAAATTACACTGAGTCAGTACTACAAGCAAGATAACTGAATAACTAGATAGGTCTGATAAAGTTGAAAATTAACTTAGTGATTACTTAAATAGTTAATGCTCATCAACATGATTTAGAATTTTCTGACAGGATTCAAATGCTCTGTAAAAGTGGGCAGGCTATTTGGTGACCTTGTCATTTATCTCTGACCTCTGAAGAAAAAGAGAAGCTACTCTATCCGCTCAGCTAAAGTTGGCTTTCTCTCTTAGATGAAATGCTGTCTACCTGACATATCCGATAAACATAATGTCAGGAAAACACAGGAGTATTTGTGAGCAGATTATCAAGGGAAACAGCCTGGTTTCATTTTGTTCTTGACCAACAGTATGAACGTATTGGAAAGCAACATCGTTAATGTTGAAAGACTGGTTTGAAAAATTACATAAGTCACACAAATGACTTTTTGAAAATCCATACTGTAAAACAGCGAAGAGAACCGAGTGATGCCGGGTACTTCTCCTCCAACAGAAATGCACAGCTCGCTCAACCTTGTCCCCCATGCTCCAACACACACAAGTCCAGGGAGATGAAGGGTCCTCACGAGCCACCATCCCAGTTCCGTTTAAGCGAAAGGATAAAGTATCTCAAGTTTCTATCCATGAAAAGAATCACAGCTTTGCAAAATAGACTCTTTAGAAAAACTAGTGATGCACACCAGGATGAGCTCCTACCTGGTAAGGTAAGGCAGATGAGGCTGGCGATCAGCAACGTCACACACATGAGGATGATCAACACCAGAATCTGCGAGGCAAACAGAGGCAGCTCAGGCATGCTCTGGGCACCTCATGGTGCCAGCTCCCCAGTCCTCACAGTATATTCTCCCACTAAACTGACGGCCTGAATTTGTACTTCCAGGTTTTTTGAACTTTACATCAAAAGGAGAAGTTTTCAATTTTTTTTTCAAGACAGAGCCCTGCTGCACTGTCCAGGCTAGCCTTGAACTCCAGGCTCACATGGTTTTTGCTGACTCAGCCTCCCCAGGATCTGGGACTATAGGCCCACAGCATTGAGCAAGCAAAACAACTCTTTACTTTGGTAAAATTACCTATAATCTAGTCCACAAGCAAAGTAAGTACCTATTTTTATACATTCAGAAAAAAGCCAAAAATAGCAAACATTTTGTTTTGTAATCAAAGAGCATAAAAATAAAACATACCCTGTTTTTCTTGCTATTAATAAAACAAAAGTTACACATCTAAAATACTTACCTTTTTAAAACACAGCAGTGCTCACCCAGTTAGAATGCTCTGTGTTAACAGAGACGTCTACACCTACACTGTCTGCTAGAGCAGCCACTGGTCACACACAGCTGTCGGACACTGAACACGGGGCTAGTATGAACAGAATTTCACATTTTTATTTAACTGTAATTACATTTAAATGTATACAGCTGCAGACAGCTAGAACTCATCAATCCTAGCAGTGCCTGCCTGAAATGACATTAACCACGGCAAGCAAGTATTGCAAACAGAAAGGCTGATGAGCTACGTAGCTAAGGAAAAAAAAGTGCAGCCCTGATGTTCTAGGAGCAATCACGCGGCACCAATGCCAATGGCACGAGCCCGCAGGAGGAGCCTGGACACGCCCCCTTCAGAGAAATCCCACACAACCTACCCTGAGTGGGAAGTTCAGAGGCCGGCGGTAAGGCTGGAAGCCAACAGGCCCTCCCTGCTGGAGGATGGCCTGGTGGGCTGCATGCAGGCCTTCCCCCACCACAGGAATGGCGTTGTTATTTCGAGCATGCTGGTTATTGTTCACTTGTTGATTTGCACTGTTCTCGTTTTCCTCCTGGTCTCCCAGTAAATAGGAATGAAGATCCCTGTGCAAAAATCGTACCAGTGGAAGTCTCATTTCAGGTCAGGTCACAACAAAATGACATACATGGGACTTTACCTTCTTCTATCTACTACAAAGGGTAGATATCCACATAGAACCCATACATGGAGCTTTTACTTCAATCTGACGTCAATGCTGTGTGTCTACTCCAAAGTAACCCTTTCTAAACTTAGTGTTAACTAAACAACTTACACACTCAACCTATTTGAAGTTTTCTTCAGCATGCTAATATTCAGCCAATTTCTTCAGGTAAGAAGTCAGTAACTTTAAAAGCTCATTTATCAAGTGAGAGTCTCTTAAAGGTGAGCTACTTGACATTAAAACTGTTTTGCACAGTGTAATGGCATAAAAGTCTTAGTATGCAGCAGAACTTAGTAAGAAGTTAAATATACAAGGAGCCGGGGAGATAACTCAGGAGCCAGGGAGATAGCTTAGTAGCATAAACACCTGCTTGACAAACACAAGGTCCTGAGTTCAATTCCTGGTACCAAAACATAATAAGCCAGGCCTGGTGGCACACAATTACAATCCCAGCACTCGGGAGGCTGAGGCAGGAGGATCGTTGTAAGTTTGAGACCAGCCTGCACTACAAAGTGAACTCACAGCCAGCCCTGTCTCAAAAAAGAAAAAAAAAAATAAAATCAAAGTTTTCATAAAAG